GGGAGCACATGACGTCAGGTGGGAGTGTAGTGCCGGTGCGAGTGAGGAGGCGCTAGAAGTGGTGAAGGATTTCTGTGGGAGTACGGTTGTCCGCGGCGTCAGACAACAGGAAGGAGGTTAACGCGGTCAGAGGGTTAGGTGCTGCTCGCCTAAGAATGGCCTCCTTAAGTTCGTCTTAAGTGGTGCACCGATGATTGTAAGGAAGTCACCGATGGTCAGAAGGAGTTCTGGCGGGAGGTTAGTGACCAGCAGGCGGAATTTTGTGGTCTGGGTGGTTATATTCCTGAGGAGGAATTCCTGCTCCACTTGAAAAAACCATTCTGGCAGGCTGGTCAGAGAGCAGACTGGTAGCGTCCTGTGTGTTGCTGACATCTCGTGTAAAAACTTGGTTCACTCCGAGGGTCACCAGTGATGGGGTTATAAAACCGAACTGGATTTTATCTCTTTATTTGGTGATGAACCAAGCACAAGTGATGTCAGCAACCGTCGTGAGGCGAATGATGATTCCGGCTCAGGTCCGGTTGCTTAAGAACCTGACCGGCGATGTTTACTCGGTCAGTCTGGGCAGTCCCGAGGCAGGAGTCGGCGAATCACAGGTCAGGTGCGGTTCTCGATTGATGACCAATCAGGAACCGCTACACCTTCTCCATCGAGAGCCCGCAGATGTATAGAACAGATTTTCTAGATAAATAAAAAAAGAAGCTTATCTTGTCACACAGGTCCTCTCCCCTATGGTGTACACACTTCACAGGCCCTCTCCCCTGTGGTGTGCAGAGAGAGATCACCCAATTGGCGAGGCATTATTGTCACCCACTTGGCGTGATCCTCCAGAGCAAAACCCACCAGACTTGAGCTTGATTGTGATACTCTTTGACAACAAACTACACAGAGAGCTCCGCCAATTTCTCGTGGATCGCCGCGACAATTGGCCAGGCCTTCTCTTGTAGTAAGTGCCCCACTACCGCTCCCTTGGAGAGCGAGGTTACAAACCAGGTCTGGACCCTCTGGTCCTGGACATAGTTTGTGGCCACGCACCAAGGGCGACTTTTCGGTGTCTAACTCTTGCCTTCTCTTTCTGACTTCCTGGTGCAGCCTGGGCCTGCGGGAAACGTTGATTTCCAACATTCGCCTGGGCTTGTAGCAGGATTGGGGTGCAGAGCGTTTACCACACCAAAACTCCGAGTTCAGCCCACCCAGGGGGATCTCCTGTCCTGTAGTGCTGAAGGGTCGAGTGTAGGGATCAGAGCTTTTCGTGAGGCCCTTCTTAAGACCTCACCCAGAGAGGAGGTATAAAGATAATCCCCGAAAGGGGAGCAATCTGTTTCCAACTCTCTAAATGACCACAATATGAATCATACCATGACAGTCACCCTGGAGCCTTTCAAGGCTGCAGGGGAGCTAAAGAAAACCCAAAAGCAGGCCGAACAGAAACAGGACAAGACAGAAACACCAACCACAAAGTCTGTCCATGCACACCAGACTGAGGGAAACCTGAACTCCCCTCAGAACTCCCTCAGTCAAGAAGGGGCTCCAGCTGTACCAGCCAAAACAGCTGCCCCCACTTCCAAAGGCCTTAAACCCCTGCAAAGGGGAGGCGTGAAGCGACGAAGGGTGGAAACTGACTCTGAAGAAGAGGCAGAACACATCCCAAGTCGACGCGGTTTAAGGTACAAAAAAACCTGAAGACTTCGACAATGCATACCAGCTGGTAAGGGCATTGGAGAAGGAAAGAAATGTAAGATTATAAATTCGAATCTCCAGAGATGAGGGCATGATCATTGCCCCCAAAGACAAAGCCACCATGAACTTCCTACAGGAAATCAAGGTGTTAAAAGATGGGAGAAAGGTGTGTATCTCACCACTGACCTCCCAAGAGAAAAAGTCCGATGGTGCTACTTGGCTTTCCACTAGGGTTCGACGTGGAGGTGATCACGTCTCTCCCACAAGTGGTGGAGACTTCCCGCATGACCAAAGGGAAGTCTCCAACCAGGCAAGTCCTGGTTATCCTCAAGGGAGCCCCAATCACCACCCTTGATCTGGGTAACTGGGGCTCATACAAGCTCAGGACATATGTGCCAGAGCCCTTGAGGTGTTTCACGTGCCAGAAATTTGGGCATCACCAGGCCAACTGCAAGGCCAAAGCCAAATGTGGTGTATGCAGCGAGGCACACGAGGCACAAGTGTGTATAAAGGCACACAAAGATGGCCAGAAGGACACAACAGCCAAGTGTCCAAACTGTGCCAAAAAACATCATGCCTGGAGCCTGGCTTGCTCTGTCAGGAAACAGGCAGTGATTAAAAAGCAGGAGCTAGCCAAAAAGCGTCCTGACTTTGTCCCTGCGCCCCCAGGCACCTATGTCTGGGGCCAAAACAAAAAACAAAATCAAAAAGAAAAGACTCCCCGACCTCCTAAGAGGGAGTCGCCCCCACAGAGAAAATTGGATACCTGTAACAGAGAGGAATTCCCCAAGCTTGCTAGTGGCAAAACAACAAAAAAGAACCAAAGGGAAAAAGGTTCAAAGTCCACAGCAATGGTCCCCCCAGTAGATGATAATCTTTTCTTTGACGAGAAAGATATGACTCTCCTGTTGAGTGCTGTAATTTCTGCAGTAGCAACAGCCTTGGGGAGGACCAGTGAGGAGGCGGAGAAAGCAGTGCAGTTCGCCATGACGGCTATGACCCAAACACTCTTAAGCACAATCTGCACCTCGCCCGCCGTGGTTGTCTTCCTTGACCTGGAGAAGGCTTTTGAGTTGGCAAGTCCGCTTGCCATTCAAGAGACCCTAATCCACAAAGGAGTCAAAGGCAGACTCTTGGCCTGGATAGCTGACTATTTTAAAAATAGATCAGCAAATATCAGATTTCAAGGCCACCTCTCACAGCACATGCCACTTGAAAATGGAACTCCTCAGGGAGGGGTTCTTAGTCCAGCCCTGTTTAATTCCCTCATGTTCAACATACTCGACATTCACCTGCCAGAGGGATGCAAGATCATCTCTTATACAGATGATTTGGCAATCATAGCCTCTGGCAATCACTGCCTTACTAGAGCTCAGCGTTGTCTGAACCTGGTGTCTGAAGAGTGTTGTAGGACGGGTCTAAAAATATCAGCAGCAAAATCCAAAGCAATGGCACTGAGAACCAATGTCAGAAACAAAAAACTCACTATACAGGGTATGGATCTGGAATGGGTGAAGGATTATCTATACCTTGGTGTATGGATAGGACACACACTCACTTTCAAAAAGGAGATCCAATACCTGCTTGACAGAACCAAGGAAAGACTGTCAGTCATGAAAGTCATGACAGGGAGACACATAGAAGCAGGACACAAATTACTAAGATCATTCTATGTGTATGCTGTCCGTCCTATTATTGACTATGCATCTGTCGCCCTCATTGCTTCCAGCACAACATTAAAAGAAAAACTGGAAACAGTACAAAACGAAGCAGCCAGGATAATTCTAGGTGCACCTAAGTGGACAAAGGTCATCAACCTCCTCATGGAAGCTGATTTACCGTCCATGGACACGAATAGACCTAATGGCAGCACAGTTCCTTTCCAAGGTCCTGCAGGCACCCACAAACTCCTAAGACAAAGAGTTCTCAGACACCTCGCCCTGATTACAAAGAACCCCCACCGTGGGCAAACGAAATGATCGAATTCTCAATTCTAAATCTCACAATGAGAAAAGATCAATATTCCATGCCTAGCCTAAAGGCACAAGCACAAAGGGTCATTGAACAAATAACTCCGCCGGGTAGTATAACTTACTACACGGACGGATCCGTGGATCCAATAAACCATACTGCAGGCGCCGGCTTTGCAACAAAGGATACCACAGCATCCATTAGGGTCACTGACAATGCCTCAACGCTTCAGGCTGATCATGGAAGCATTGACACACGCGTCCCTGAGGGGAGGGCACGTTGTCATTCATACAGATTCAAGAGCAACTATTGACAGCTTACAGCATAGCATGCCCCCAGATAACATCTACATCTTGACAACAGTACTATACATAGCCCAAAGAATCCTTAGTCAAGGTAGAAGAATCATCATAAACTGGGTCCCAAGCCACATAGGCATACAAGGGAACGAGCTTGCTGATAAACTAGCCGAAAAAGGCAGGGGTATGCCCCCATCCTCCATGATCGTTAAACCCAGCCGAAGGGGACTAAGCCAAGGTACCAAAGCTGCAGCGTGTGCGGTCCTCCGGGGAGCACATAGAGAAAACATCACAAAATCGCTCGCTGCCAAGTGGTACTCAGATGCTTCAGGCTATGAGCCACAGGCCCTTCCTCCAAATACAAAAAGAGGTACCGAAGTCATACTATTCAGACTAAGACTAGGTTACCAATGCGCTTGGCAAATTATTGACAGTGAGACTAGGAGGTTATGTAAACACTGCGGCGCACCTAACGCCACCCTGTTACATTACTTGCAAAATTGTGTACACACACAATTTCTGAGGCAGGGACCACCCTCCACAGCCGCCGGGCTGGTAAAAAGGGTGTGCAACATGCTTTCTCCATGGCAGCTGGATCGCTTGCTTGCAATCCAGCCACCGCGGTAAGCATGCAGTTCAAAGAAAACATCTGAGTTAACTAGAAATAGTTAACACAGGCCGGGCCACTCCAGAGAAAAGGCCCGGGCGAAGCATGACTTCGCAAATCTAACTGAACTGAACTGATTGTCAGAGAAAGTTATGGTCCATATACTACCCTGAAGAAATTTGAGAATGTGTATGTAAGACGGAAAGCGGACAGTATTCGGAACTCTGCTTTGCCATGGCTTGAGAAAACATCAACTATTTCTCTGTCATTAATTGTCTCTCAGGAAGGACGAATGTGTAACAACAGAACGTGCGATCAATTCCTCTCAGAACAGCCCTTATTTATGTTACCTTCGTCACTCAGCTTGATATTCTTGCAATTTATTTTATTATTTTTTTCATCATGGAATAGCATACGGAGTAATGATGCAAAATTTATGGTTTTATGTCTATATTTTTACTTGTAGTGTAATATTTTATACTAATATAAACTTTAAGGATACCTCCGAGCAGAGACTCAGAATGACAGCACTAAGACGAGAAACTGTTTACAAATGAACATAAATGCAGTTGACAGCAAATCAAGCGCAGGGGAGAGGGGCAAGTCAGGGGACGATGTCGGTGATACGAGGAACTGCTACAGAGTGGATAGCAACACTACAGGCGTCGCGTAGGCCTCTTCGTGGTGGTGGAGATTCCAAATAAGTCCATATCCCTGAGCTGCTCCATGAAGGTGACCACGTGAGGCATGACCCTCTCGGCGGCGTTAAAGCGGTGGTGCGTGTCATCCGGGATCTTGGTGCCCTCCACCTTCTCCGTGGCCTCTATGAGCTTGCGTGTGATGGGCAAGAACTCTGTCATGACCCTATTGATGATCTGGGGTTCACTGGCCTTGCCCTGGGACTGCGAGATCTTGTTGAAGACCTTGGCGATTTCGGGCAGCACGTCGATGGTGGCGGCGACGATGTGCTCGTAGTCGCCCAGGTCACGAGAGTTCTGGGGCTGCAGGACGCCCAGGGCTTGTTGCCTCTGCGGGGACGCCCGGCCGAGGCAGAGCACGGCGGCTGCGACCAAGAGGACCTGCGGAGGGTGCGGAAGGTCAGCGCAGGTCAGTATACATACATGTATATATATGCATATATTTATATGTATGTATGCACTTGTTTATATATGTATACATACATATACAAATATATAATATATATATGACGTATACTTTATCTATATCCATGTGTGTGTGTATCTGTGTATGTATGTGTGTCTGTTTGCGTGTGTGTGTACGAATATATAAATATTTATGTATATCTATAGAGATATGTACACATGAGTATATATATATATATATATATATATATATATATATATATATATATATATATATATACATATGTATATGTGTATATATATCAGCATATACATTTATATGTATATATAAGGAATAGCATATGTAAGATATATTTAAAATATATATGTAACACACACATATATGTATATAATATATTCGCTACGATATATATATATATATATATATATATATATATATATATATATATATATACACACACACACACACACACACACACACACACACACACACACACACACACACACACACACTCACACACACACACACACACACACACACACACACACACACACACACACACATACACACACACACACACACACACACACACACACACACACACACACACACACACACACACACACACACACATAATATATATATATATATATATATATATATATTATATATATATAATATATATATATATATAATATATATATTATATATATTAATTATTATTACACATATAACACTACATCACACACACATATATAGCGTTAAGTATAAGATAAATATATATGTATATAGATATATATGTTTCAATGTATATATATATACATATATATTTATACAAACACACACATATACGCAAGTGAGTGTGCGTGCGTGCCTGCGTGAGAGCCTGCCTCTGCCAACCTTAAAGACCATGTTGCAATGTGTGGCTGAGCGACGTCCAAGAGCGGGGTCGAAGGTTGTGTGTGGCCGGGGGAGCGAGTGCATCCTTTATATAGGGACTTCTGGTCCGGTCGGGTATGGGAGGGGGGGATTGATGACCGGTTCAGGGGAGGGAAGGGGTCTTTCTGCGTAGAAGTTGCTGTGGATTAAAGTTATGGCTTCATGACCTCTTCCTTATAACGAGCAAAATTCTTTGTTTATTCACCAAGGAAAGTAGGCAGGGGAGAGTAACAGACAGAGATGTGGACAGATAGAAAGAGAAAGACAGGAAGGCAGAAGAGACGGAGTAAGAGACGGAGAGAGAAAGAGAGAAAAGGACAAAATAGTGATGGAGAAATAAAAGAGTGCTAGAGAGACAGAGGAGAGAGACAGAGAGAAAGAGAGAGAGAAAAAGTCTTGCATATCCCACAAACCTCGCTCTCGTCCCTTCCCACAGCCAGCACCTGCGCTTCCGCAAAGCTCTAACCTTCGGGCAAAGCAGATCCTGCAAGTGCTCCTGCACCCGCTGGCAACTGTTCGGGCGGAACGAACTCTATATAAGCGATGCCAGCGCTGCCTCGTCTTCATTCCAGTCTCATATTTCTGTTGCTAAGATGTACCTCCGGGTGAGTGCATCTTGATTTTGTTACCGTATTTTGTTTTGTTTAGATTCCTGTGGTTATATAGGATCTAAGGGGGTACTGTTTTTCATTCACCTTAGAGTGCTGTTTCTGTAGCTAATGCTGTTAATAATGTTATTGTTAATTTTGAGATTGGGAAAAATCCTGATGTTCTCTCCATATTATTATTGTTAGTGTTATTATTATTATTTTCTTATAATGTAACTACTATTATTGCTAGTATATTAAATATGTTGCTCTTGTTATCACTTTCATCACTGTCATCAAGGTAGCATATATATATGCATATCTATCTATACTCATGGTAAGTTTCTAATATTTCTATGCTCATCATTGTCAGTGTCATCGTATTCAGCTAGTCTTAAACAAAACGCTGACGCCCCTTTTCTCAAGTTCTTCGCAGGCTTTTTTTTTGCTTTGTTTTTTAGTGATTTTACCCCCTTTTCTCAGGATTGATGAAATTGGGCCCTATCTTAGGACTGACAAAGCCCCCCCTCCATTTCCAGGGTGCAGTACAAAAAACAAGATCACAGGGCAAGAAACAGAAACAGTGGAATTTCCGTAGCTTTTAAAAGTGCCACAAATGACATGGCTTTTGGATTCGAAGGCAGGAGAAGCAAATGAGAAGTGCCAATAATTTCTGTTGACTATAGATGTAACCAGTGATGAAACTGAATGAATCTGAGGAAATTGTAATTATTGTGACGAAAATATCCATGTCTAGAGTATAGTGCTGTTGAGCCACTTTTTTCTTGATTTTCTCGGGAGAAAGACCCCTTTTCCTCTAGAAATCGCTAACACGCATGTGGTCCACCGCCCTAGGGAGTGAGGGGTTCTCTTCCATTTGATTCTAACATGTAAGGATTTCCGAGGGATCCTACAACATAATTGTCGGTCCCCGCAGATCCTCCTAGCCTGTGCGACGTGCGCGTGTGCCGTCTCGGCCCAGAGGTACGAGGCTCTCGGCGTGCTGCAGCCGGCGAGGCCGACGGGCCTGGGCGACCACGAGAAAATGGTGACGGCGACCATCGAAATCCTGCCGGATGTTGCCAAGACCCTGAGGGAGCTCGCCATGAGGATGGCTCGCTCTCAGGACGACCCCTTCGACTCGCAGAACATGTTCGAGATCCTGATGGCGTTCATGCCCGTGACCCGCAGGATCATGTTCTCCGTGGCCAAGGCCGAGGGCCGGACCGTGTCCGAGGAGGAGCTGCAGAGGCTGGACCAAGCGGAGAGGATGTTTCCCTCCGCCTTCAAGTTTTTGGTCAAGATGCACGGGGGTGACCTGTTCGGCTTCGAAGACCCCGACGCCGAGAAGGCCCCGACGGAGGACGCCGCCGCCCTCGCCGAAGCCAAAGTGAGCGGCTCCTTCGTCCAGATGCCCCACGGGAGAGGGATGGTCATCCACCACGGGTAGGCGGGAGGCGGACGCAGACGAAGGCACAGGAGTAGGAGGAGAGAGAAACATCTTCGTCAATCTCCGACGGAAGAGAAGGAGAAAGAGAAAAGGCACAAGACATGAAGTTGGAGCAAGGAAAGAACTTAAGCGAGATAAGAAGACAGGGAATAAAGAAGTTCCAAGAGGTAGAAGAAAATGAAAAGAGGATATAGAACAAGAAGAGAGGGTAGTTCCAGAAGTTCATCATAAAGCCATTGTAAAAAATTCCATTGACATTCATTTGCTATCAGTATTCTTTGTTAAATGTTCCCATTATGTTAATAAACTATGTATAAATTCGAAGATATCTTGTTATTACCTATTTATCAATTGAAGGTTGAAGGGAGCGATGAAGAGAGTAGAAAAAAGGATGGACAGATTTAGAGATAAAAAGAGAGATAGAAGGAGAGAGAAAAAGAGATAGCTGGAAGAGGGGGGGGGGGGTTGTATACTGCAGACGAGAAATTGCTTTAAAAGTACATAATATTTTCATTTGTTGATGAATAACAGTCTGGTGTATTAGAGTAGATAGCTTGAAGCAAGGGTGCTGACCTGATACCCAGGGCACGGCCAAAGTTAGGTTGAATAAGGAGGGTGCCATGCCCAAGGGGAAGGGCATCAACAGTACAGGTGTCTTTCAGAGCCATCGCCAGTTGGTAAGGAGAGTAGGAGTAAGAGTGGGTGCTTTGGAGGAGTTGCTGTAGATTAAAGATATTTGTTTTTATCTAATCTTTATCACTTTTTTATATTTTTTTTTCAGGGAATGAACTAATTTGTATAGGCTTTTTTTGGCACTGTTCTTCAACCTCTTTTGAGATCATGGCTCACTTATGTCACTTACAAATTCAAAGATATAGAATTTGTATCAATTCACTATAGAATACATTTATAAAACAAATTGAAACTGGTTTACTTCTATGAAAACAGACACAGAGTTAAAAGTAAAAATCAACAGTTATGCTCTTTTGTTACATGACAGCACCTAGGATCGGAAACTAATTTAATGTTTGTCGCTTCCTTCTTATACTCTAAAGCCTTACTGAAGCAAGGAGAATATCCATAGCCCACGTGGGAGGCAGCCCGTGGCCCACACAGCTTGTATGCAATGTCTAGGAGTTCCACGTGTTGATGTGTTATGTATTTTCTTGATAATCAACAGTAAAAAGGCTATAATAATTTCTTTCTGTGTCTCTTTCTCTCTGCATTGACTCAATATCTTGATAATGTTATAAATGCTTTCTTTTGTTTTTGAAACCTACTCTTTCAAATTTCTATCAGTATATTTCCATATCACCTTATATGATTTTTTAGATAAAGAATAGGACCCACTTTATCTACCCACTTTTTGACCATATTTTCCTTGGCTGTATATTTGCCTGTGTGTCAGCCTGTGCAAATCTCTTTTTACATATACCAATAGTATATTGTGTATTGCAGTGGCTTAGCTATTAATTTAGGGGCCCTTGGGGTTGGTCCTTAAAGAGCTCCAAGTGTTTTTAGGTGTATAGATATGTTGGGAACCGTAGATATATAAAGTACCTTTGAATAAGGGGAAACATTATTCTGTACAGAGGAACAAAGACATACACAAGGAAGTTATTAGTCTAGTACTATCCTGGAAAATGATAGAAAAAGATGGCTATTGTCTAAAGGAAGACGTAAAAGGGACACGCATTCGAAACCTATAAATCTGATCATGGCTTTGGAAAATCATTAAATTGTCTCTCAGGGAAGGACAAACATAACGAAAGAAAATCGATCGAGTCCAAAATTTTGAGAAAACATTCATCTGCTATGTTACCTTCGTCACTTATCTTGATATTTTGCACTTTATTTGATTTCTGTTCCATCATGGCATGTGGTGAATAAGAGATAATAAAAGTGTTTATATAAATGTTTTATATATTTTTACTTGTACAGTGTACAATTCTATACTAATTTTAACTTAGAGGACAGTCGAGTGGATAGCAACACTATTACAGACGTTAAATGGGCCTTTCGTGGTGGTTTGGAGATTCCAAAGAAGTCCATGGCCCTAGAGCTGCTCCATGAAAGGTGAACCACGTGAGGCATGACCCTCTCGGCGGCGTTGAAGCGGTGGTACGTGTCGTCCGGGATCTTGGTGCCCTCCACCTTCTTCCGTGGCCTCCATGACCTTGCGTGGATGGGCAAGAACTCTGTCATGACCCTATGATGATCTGGAGCCACTGAGGCCTGCCCCAGGGCACATGAGTAGATCTTGCTGAAGGACCTGACGTATTCTGGGAACAGCACGTATCGAAATCGCGTGAGCGCCGCAACGTTGCTTCTCGATAGTCCGCCCACGCGCTCACCGAGGAGTTCTGAGAGGCTGCAGGACCGGCCCCAAAAGGGCCTTAAGGTACCTCTGCAGGGGGAAAGCCGGAACGAGCCGAGCACCGCGCCCTGCGACCACCCGAGGACTGCGGAAGGTGTGTATAGCCAGCAGGCGTCAGACGATACAATCCATATGTATGCGACTATATAGTACATTACACAATGCTATATAATATAAAATCCACTACATCAACTTACTAAATCATAATATAAACCCTACATCTACTATTATAATACTACACTCTATACTCCACTAATATATATATACCTCTATCACGTATACTACTATCATATATATACTTTATCTGACTATGGATACGCACCTTATTACTCGTGTCGCTCCACTGCGTGTGCCACAGCTATCTGTATGCACATACTAATGTACACATATGCTACCCCTATACCACTATCACACCTCCATACCCTCCCATATACTCACCATCATCTCACTCATCATAATAATACTATACTCACTACTACCTCATACATATACTACACTACCAGTATTAGTGTGATGTGATCACCTAATATATATAATATACATAAAGACAATACTCACCTCATAAATTAACTATAGATAAACCCAATTATAATATATGACCTATACTATATATGAAACTAGCAATGTACCTATATACTTTTCCATGATATTATAATGCCAAATACAGACACACCCCACCTCATAGTATATTCACTGCAAATAAATAACTTACACACATTATAATAATACGTTACATGTAATGTAATGAGCTAAATATCAACACTATATGTACCCTCCCTATATAGAATATTATGTATACGTACAATAATACCCACACTCAATATACCACCTCCAGTATAATCTATACTATACATTTATTTATTCCCACACTCCTCATATGAATATAATATAATAGTAGCTCACTACTACAACCAAAAGCCTTTCACACCACAATAATTACACAGACTATTATATAGTAAGAATATATAACATACATACAATACCATAAATACCATATCACTATAACTATTATACAATACCCTATATAATTAACCTATAAACATATTATATAAATAATAATATGATAATTAAATGCCCTAACCCATCAAAACCACCCCAAAACCCAAAATACTACATATAATACATATACACTAAAAGTATATATATATATCATATACGCTAATACATCTACATAATATTAATATATAAATTAAATAACACAATTAATACATACACACACATCACACCACACAACAACACTACATACACCACACACAACATACTTCACCTAATACTAAACTATACTACTACACCATCAACTACACACAAAAATATACTCTATCAAACACCGACCCTTACCGCTATAAATATACTCGTCAAATTACCTACTCATAGCTATCAATAATATACTACGCTCACTCTAACCCCCTAAATACTAAACTCAATATTACACTCAACCACCTACCCCATATACTTACATCTATTATAATATATATAATATATTATATATATGTATACATTGCAATTATATATATATATAATAAATAAAATACCTATAAATATATACATTTATATAATATTATATATATATATATATATTATATATATATACCGATAATAAATATAATAATATATATATATATATGCTGTGTGGTGATGTGCATAGTGTGTGTAGTGTCGCTAGCTAGATGTGTGTGCTGCTGTGTGCATAATAAACCTACTATATCAATTATAAAAATATGTATATATAATATTATATATGACTATTATATAATAAAATCGCGTACATATATAGTATAATACTACTAAAAAGATATACAATATAATATATTAGCACTTAACCTCATAATCACTACATAAATATATATATATTATGTTACTGGGGTATAATATATAAAAAACTATTATATTAATACATATATCTATATTATATAAGATAATAAGATGTACTATTAAATAGATCCTATAATATGATATATGATCAATTTAGCGATATAACATATCATATATGAATAATCATACAAACCAATACAATGATAATATTATAAGAATCATATATACTACTATATATACCATATTGACATGCATACACACAAGTAAATATAATAATATAATATAGTAATAGTAGTAGTATATTATATATATACAAAATTAGTTAAAAGATACCAAATATATATACCAACTTATTAATATAGATAAATATTATAAATTATATATTATACCGTATCATAATATAATATAATATATAAAATATATATATATTAAATAGTCATATACATATATACATACACAAAACATGATATATATAATATATATATATATATATATATTATATTATATATATATGAATATTTAATTATCAAATATTTAATTATCAAAATTACACACACATGTATATGCATCTTTCTCTAAGTATATGTTTATACATACACATATAAGCACAGACACGCAAGATTTATGCTATTACATAGCCTCTACACACACGCTGACACGCCACACAAGTGAGTGCGAGCCTGCAAGCACATGCGGAAAAAGGCTTGAGAGCCTGCCTCTGCCAACCTTAAAGACCATGTTGCAATGTATGGCTGAGCGACGTCCAAGAGCGGGGTCGAAGGTTGTGTGTGGCCGGGGAGCGAGTGCATCCTTTATATAGGGACTTCTGGTCGGTCGAGTAGGGGGGAGGAGGGGGCCTTGATGGCAGGATCAGAAGGGGGAGGGGTATCTCTGCGTAGAGGAAGTTGCTGGGGATTAAAGTTATGGCTTCTTAGATTTTTTTCTTTCTTACTTTTTTTAGCGAATTAAATTCTTTGTTTATTTACCGAGTAAAGGGAAGTAGGCAAAGGAGAGTTACAGACAAATATGTTGACAGACAGAGATAGATAGAAAGGGAGAGGAAGAGACAGAGTCAGGGACGAGGAGAGAGAGAAGAGGACAAAATTAGTAACAGAAAAATAAATAAATGCGAGTAAAATGCTAGTCAAAGAAAAAAAGGAGAAAAAGAGAGCGAACGAGAAAGAGAGAGAGGGAGAGGGAAGTGAGAGAGAGAGAAAGAATGAGAGAGGGAGAGGGGGAGAGAGAGAGAAAGAGAGAAGGGGAGAGAGAAAGAGAGGGAGAAAGCGAGAGAGAGAGAGAGAGAGAGAGACAGAAAGAGAAATGAATAACAAATCCCACACAGCTCTAGTCCCTTCCCACAGCCAGCACCTGCGCTTCCGCAAAGCTCTAACCTTCGGGCAAAGCAGATCCTGCAAGTGCTCCTGCACCCGCTGGCAACTGTTCGGGCGGAACGAACTCTATATAAGCGATGCCAGCGCTGCCTCGTCTTCATTCCAGTCATATTTCTGTTGCTAAGATGTACCTCCGGGTGAGTGCATCTTGATTTTGTTACCGTATTTTGTTTTTGTGTAGATTTCTGCTGTTCTACAGGATCTAAGGGGTACCTTAGTGTGTTGTACTTATAACTAATATAGTTTATAATCATATGTATATATGTCCTGTTCTTCTGTCCATACTATTATGACTATTAGTGTGACTGCTATCATTTTTTGTATAATGTAACCACTATCACTGCTACTCTTAGTATAAATGTTGTTCTTGTTATCAGTCATCAATGTCATACATATGTAAGGTGTTTTTATTTCTATGCTCATCATTGTCTGTCATCTTATTCAACCGAGCCTGAAGTGATTGATTCTACAAAGTTTAAATTTCTTTCGTGGTCAACACCTGGCTTTATTCTCTTGCACTTGATTCCATGTAAGGATTTCCGAGTGAAACCTGTAAAGCAGTTCTCGTTTCCCGCAGATCCTCCTAGCCTGTGCGACGTGCGCGTGTGCCGTCTCGGCCCAGAGGTACGAGGCTCTCGGCGTGCTGCAGCCGGCGAGGCCGACGGGCCTGGGCGACCACGAGAAAATGGTGACGGCGACCATCGAAATCCTGCCGGATGTTGCCAAGACCCTGAGGGAGCTCGCCATGAGGATGGCTCGCTCTCAGGACGACCCCTTCGACTC